TTGTGGCCCGTTTCTTGGCAAATACTATGCACTTGTAGTCATTGATTATTTTTCAAAGAGGCCTGAAGTTTTTTTCACAACTTCACCAAATTCTGACTTCACAATTCAAGCATTAAGAAAGGTGTTTAGTCGAGAAGGGGTTCCAATGGTGTTAGTGACTGATAACGGCTCTCATTTTGCTGCAGATGCAGTTACTACCTGGTTAAATGGTATAGGGTGCGAACATCTGTTTAATGCTCCCAGACATCCTTGTTCTAATGGTCAGGCAGAAAATTTTGTCAGGACATTGAAAACTGCTATTGATTCTATTGCCGCCTCAACATTTAATGAGCTGAAGAGGGGAGTAGATACCTTTCTACTGCAATATAGAAATGCCAGACATTCGGTGACGAAAGAGACTCCATCAAAACTATTAAAAGGAAGAATTCTTCGGTCGAATATGAGATGTTTGGAGTCTGCAGAAGTTACATATTATCGTGGCAATGATCTTCGACCATCCACGGGTATTGTTCTGAAGAATGTCGGGAAATCTTTGGTGCGACTTCTAGATATCAATGACTTAAGTACACACAATCGACATGTTGATCAAATAAAATTCCAAGAACCAGGTGAGTCTGTTCCAATTTCGGTTGTTAATTCTAATACTAATGAGAGCATTCTAGATATTACAGAGTCTTTATCCAATACACTGTCGTACAGACACAGGATGAATTTGAGAAGAAGACGTACGATTGATTACAGACATATACATTCCAATTAAAGCTGTGGCGGATGTGGTATTTGAATGAACTAGTAACTTCTTGTTGTTGTTGAATGCTTGATTTCGAATTCTAAATACAATACATTCGTTTGTGCATATCTTTAATTCTTGATACATATACTTCTAATTATTACAGTGTGCCAGTACTGGATTTCGAAAATATAGCCCAAAATTACTAAGTCCCATCGCTGAAGACGATTTTGCAGAATGGGGTGGAATGCCAGATTTTCAACCGAATATTACTAGCACTGGCTTGTAATCTGTTAGAAGAGTGAATCTTAAACCGTACAGAAACTTGTGCAAAAGGCAAACAACAAGCTCAAGGGTAAGAGCCTCTTTCTCTATTTGACTGTACTTATTTTCCGCTGGGGTTAGAGTACGGGATGCGTGCATAACGGCTTCTTCTGACGCGTCTGGGAACTGATGTGAAATAACAGCACCTAGGCCATTTGCTGGAGCGTCTGCTGCTACGATGATTGGCATGGATGCGTCAAAGTGTGTTAACAACAATTCAGAGCTAATTATGGACATGAGTTTATAAAACTCCACGTCACACTATTTAGTCCAGCTCCAAGTGCTGTTGTCCTGCAGTAGACAATTCAATGGAGTATGAATATTATGCATCGAAGGAACAAACGCTGAATAATAGCTGATCCGAGAAAATATCATGATTGTGAGACACTAATGAAGCTAGGCATCAATTCGATAGCTCGGGTGTTCTCAGGATCTGGTCTGCGGTTGTCGGCGTCGAAGATGAATCCCAAAAACTTTACAGACGGCAATAAAAACTGGCATTTCTGTGTGCGCACTGGAAACTAAGAGATTTCAAGCATAGTGCAGTCTCAAAAAAAACCTACCCTGTGAACGGTGGGGATAAAGCAAACATGATTATTTCTGATAATATTTTTCAGACACTTTTTGGTGAGTTTGCTGACGGTAAACGCAGCCAAACAGTAAGAAAACTGAATCTGAGTGTCTCAGAACGATCTACTCAGAATCTTGTAATCTGCTACGTCTGGTACATCTCATAAGCACTCAATGATGATTCCTTGAGTTACAGAGTTAAAAATAAAAAGATTAAATAGAATATCATGAAAGCAACTGATCACTGTGCCCGATTATTATATTCTGTAAATCAACATTACTGCAAACAGATTGGTTCTTCCGAATTTCCTCTATCATACGATTAATTGCTTATTCAGTGTATCGCTACTGAATTGTCTACACTTATCTACGTAAGTGTTCCTCGCCTCCTTCTATTTATGTCTCTTTTTCAGCACCTTATTCCGATCTTTAAATATTAGTCTGAATATTTGCTGAAGACTTGGTTATTTTACCCGAGAGCCTGTAAATTAATTACCGGGCAAGTATCAACAAGATTCTCGCACATTTACCTAATCAATTCCTGTTAAATGCAAACCTGGTTTCACTTTGCGTTGTTTTGTAACGCAACCGCCTTAACTCGTGCCAATTATTTGCATTGTACATTGCACAGTCTGAAACATTATCTATAGTTTTACATGAAACATTCTGCCTTCTATATGAAGGCAATGTATGAATATGAACAGCCTTTTATAGAAATATATTAGCAATACTAACATTTTGATCTTTCCTGCAAATTGGCTTGCCTTTTGCAACATGTTGTCACCTGAGAATAAATTATTATTATTATTATAAGATTGAACGTATTTGAGAAATGTTCCTGGTAGTCCTCGGATTCTATCTTTTTCAGATAGATCAGAATTATCACTGGTGGTCTCTGCTTCAGATACCATTATAAGTGGTGGTCGACAAAGAGATTCAAGCATGTCTAAATCCTTCCTCTCATTACAGATCGAACTAGAGTTTATTAGGTATAAATAAATAAATATAAATGTCGACATAAGTCGAACTGTGCAGACTGCAAAGCCGTGACTGACTCAACGAAATTATTAGATCCAAGAGGATACAGTTGATGAGTGGATACACCACGACAATTATAAGTTTCCTTCCAGAGAGTTTTCAATCTTTTCTATATTTGTTGTTGGGTATTATTAGGATAATTAGTAAGAGGTTAAACAAATAAGTATTTACATACGGAATCGAAGATGTCATGAATAATCACTGCATTACAACTTTTTATCCCTAATAGCTTTCCAGTCGAGATTAACAAACGTAATATTACGGAATATCAGGAATGATGAAAATTGTAGGCGTGTTTAGGCGATATTTTATGTGTCGAGAAGCGAGAGGTCCAAGGTAGTTGATTATTGCACGAAGATGAGTAGGACGTATAAAATGACGGTCTGGTCCAATGCATGACAGTCACCTTCAGGCAGGATGCGTCCAGCAAGTTTAAGGGGTACAGCATCTGTAAATGGATTTCTACGGTGGCAGTTCCAATGGGTTCCAATAGGTGCACTCCTGAACTCGTTTCTCCCAGTCCAAGTTTCAGATAAAGCAAAAATTCTAGGAGAAAGCGACTTTATTAATAAAAACATGAAAATACAAAGCATTACCTGGAATTAATACACCTTCCAGGTTACAATTACTCCGAAGAGTATCCGAAACAAAAATAGATAAGTGACGTTAAGTCCAGCGGCTACCGGATCAATCCAAATATGGCTGTAGCCATATTATATCAAATTTAAACAACATATATACAGATCAGAAGCAAACACAAAAACTTCAATACAAGTACAAAATATAGAAATAATAACAATATACAATGATAAAATCTCAAATTGGAATCAAATAAAATACCAAAAATGTCAACAGAAAAAGTCCGTCATGTCATAACAAAAATAGGTAAACATGGAGGGATTTTCCGAAAAACAAAACATTCAAAAAGGATTCTACGCATCAATGTAGAAAGCTTACAATATTATCTATTTTGAGGATTTATTTACTTTCTCAGAGTGCGTCAGTTCATTTAGAGAACTGCATGACTTAATGTAAAAGCCAGTTGTTAAGTTATTGATGCAAGTTGTTATTCATTCTTTCTGAGTATTCTATTAAACACTAAAACGACTACGTTTGATCACTAAGGGTAATTTGAGTCATTTCAAAATTCATGGAGAATACTAGACGATCACTCTTATAAAATATCTGGATTAGTCGTATTAGATTTTCACATAAATGTAAGACATTTATATAGCACTGAAATATTAGTGAGATAAAATTTGCCAAAGGAAATACTGGTAAAACCTCACTAAATTAAATAATGGGACATAAAAACTCATATATAACTGCCAAATGACCAGAATTGGAGTGATCAAGTAGCCAGACCACCATACGTTGGACATCACCAAATATTTGGAAGGGTCCGGAAACAACAACGGGCGAGTGCCGAGGAATCGATTGTTTTAAACAAGCTCACAGCTGACGGCTTAGTGAATATTCGTATCACTCATTGTAGAATCCTTTTTGAATGTTTTGTGTTTTGGAAAATCCCTCCATGTTTACATATTTTTGCTATGACATGACGGACTTTTTCTGTTGACATTTTTGGTAATTTATTTGATTCCGATTTGAGATTTTATCATTGTATATTGTTATTCTTTCTATATTTGTACTTATATTGAAGTTTTTGGGTTTGCTTCTGATCTGTATATATGTTGTTTAAATTTGATATAATATGGCTACCGCCACATTTTTGGATTGATGCAGTGGCCGCTGGACTTAGCGTCACTTATCTGTCACTGTTTCTGATATTCTTCGGAGTAATTGTACCCTGGAAGAGGCACTATTTCCAGGTAATGCTTTGTATTTCCATTTTTTGATTAATAAAGACGCTTTCTCCTAGAATTTTGTCCTTTTTGAATTGGTTGGGACCCGGAACTGGGAAAAGCGTACAGGAGTGCCCCTATTGGAACCCATTGGAACGGCCACTGTAGAAATTCATTTACACTCATTGCTTAGTACTAAGGAAACTAAAATCCTGACGCCTGAGTAGGTCACCAGGTTGTGACAGTATTCGGCCCATAGTCTTGAAAATATGTTCTGTTTATCCTCGGCTTGGACACTGAATACCCGAAAGCGAAAAAGTGACGACACAGGTCTCTCGTGGTACATAAATACGGAATCTACTTGCACTGAATACGAACTCTGTCACACCGTCCAGTCGCTCGGCACGTTGTAGAAAAGATAAAAACTCTCTAAATTTAGCGACGTTCTCTGTGAGATCTGCAACACAATGAATTGTGGGATCTTCTTTGCTATACATTTTGAGTCCTTTAGCCTTTTCTTCTGAAGCAAGAAGTTAACTATAAAATACAGGACGAGAATCATTGGTGTTTCGATAACGAATTACGGAGGCCAGACCCCTTGAAACTAAGGCAAATGCATGGTTGACATCATCAGCTCGCACAGTGGCACCCACGTGCTCATCAACAGTATTAGATGTCTTCGGTTGAATGTAGTCGACTTGAACAGTTACCCGTTTACCAACAGACTGATGTAGTACATCCCTATCTTCAAACACATAGGGTATGTCATAATGTGGACGAATACGACCACGTTGGGTAGTTAAATCATCCTCCTTACCAGTGTTTTGTGGATGAGGCGATCTTATGCTGGATAGAAAGAATTTATGGACACCATCAGAACACTTGACAGAGATATTATCACCATTTCCAACTTCATATATAATTCCCTGGGACAATTGTTTGAAGACTTCCTGCAAGTACTTCCTTTGTTCACGTAAGCTGATAATTTTCAAACAGTAGCAGTCGCTTTTCTTTCGTAAGTCTTTCAGCTGCTTTGTAGGCTTCAGCAGCACCTGGTACGCTTACCAAATTAAAATTCCAATCAATACAGTGAGCCAAGCCATTACAATGTAGCAACTCGGCTATATTTCCATTAGGATGAAGGATGCTTCCGATGAAGTTCTGATGGTATACGGATTCCAACAGTACAGTCACATCTCTCTGAAGCAGTCTAGATTCAATGAAGAACAGAGCATCGAGACCCCAGGAATCGGAAACAATTTTCCCGTCCTCGTAACATATCGATGGTGATTTGATTCCCGACATTTTAAAAGTAATGTATACAAATTTATTTGGCCTCTCGCTGAGGGATTCAGGCGATCTGGTAATGGCATAGCTGCTGGTATCCAGCAACCCTACTGACCTGAAACAAAGTTTTTCATTCAAATCACGGGACATACAAACAAACAACTGCCAACTGTCCAGAATCAGACATTTGAAATAATAAGTCCCTTTCATAGAACAGTGAGGAGGCAGTCGAGTGACTAGAACCCGATTCATTGGATACTACCGAACACCAGGAACTGGATTGAAAGGACAGGAATCAAGCGCAAAGAAATCAAGATACTGGAGGTCCATTGGAAGCAAAGAGGATTCGACTGAGCTTCAAAAGGACCTCACGTCTATTGAGAAATGGGCAGTGAAAAACGGTTTAAAACTCAACCAATCGAAGTGCCACGTCATGCATTACCTGCCTCATATGACGCAAACGACCTATACTCTCAATGAAAGTCCTCTCCCAAATGTCTCCTCAGAGCGCGATCTTGGTTTAATAACCACAGAAAGCCTCCACATCAGTCCAAACTATGTAGGGGATGCAGCCAAGGCAAATGCGACTCTTCACTTTATGTGAAGACAGCTTGGTGCTATCACCCCGAAATTATTTTTAACCCTGTTTAAGACGTACGCGCGCTCACACTTGGAGGTTCACAACGCCATCGCACCTCCTCTGCTTAAAAGAGACATAAATCTCTTGAATCGAGTGCAGAGACAAGCAACGAAATGGGTGATAGGGTTGAAAAATAAACCCTACGACGATAGACTCCAGCTCTTAGGATTATTCCCACTGAGCTACAGGAGAATCAGAGGTGAACTGATTATGGCGTACACCATATTAAACACGCCAAACCATCCCAATATGAGCATCTTACCGATGCATCACCACCACTCCCCTCGAGGCAATTCTCGAAAGATTGCACATCAAAGAGCAAATACTCATATTCGTGCACACTTTCACATTGCGAGTAGTCGCAACTTGGAATGCTCTCCCAGCCGAGGTAGTTACAGCCCCCTCAGTGGACTGCTTTAAGAAGAGACTTGATAATCACGTACTCACATACGGACTATCATCTCCCTCTGGGACAAGCTGTGCATGATGCATATCTTGAGACCTGATAGTTGTTACCTTATTGCCATCTCCTCAGATCACTCACTTAATCTATCTCGCCTATTATCTCTGTTCCTCTCCCTTGCCTACACTTCTGTCCCTCTCTCACAATCGTCACTACCAATTAATACAAACTAAATTCATCTATATATTACTCAGTTCTGAAAATTTTACTCATATTATCATTATAATTTTATCCTTATTACCCTTATTACTCTCCACAATTGAAACTAACTGGTCTCCGGTTTGGTATAGGTGACGGCTGCTAGTATCCAGAAACCCTACTGACCTGAAACAAACGTTTAATTCAAATCCCGAGACATACAAACTCACAACTAACTGCCGACTGACTAGAATTCAGGACAGTCGAGTGGCTAGACCTCCATTCGTTGGACATTACCGAACACCATGGAACAGCACCGAAAGAACAAGAATCGAGCGCGAAGAAATCAAATCTGGTTTACACTAGCTCGTGAAAAATATATTGGATATTGGAAAAGGTATTGGATATTGAAACACCAAATTAAAGGCGTTCAATTCCAATATTTTTGTGTTGTCGCTTCATTGAATTATATTTTCTTTAGGATATCATTCACTGGATTGCAAGTACATATTTCAAACTCTTTGTTCACTTCGATTTTAGTTTTTGATAGCGTGCCTTTTATCTGATTATTTCTGTAAGACCAGCAATTTATTTATCGTTCGATGAAACATTGTTTCACCTCAAACAAGCACAGACTCGAACTAAATGGACAACAGAATCTTATTGGCTTACTATTTTTCATTTATAATCCCTCAT